CTTTCTCTCTTCCTCTTCTGAATCTTTCTCCTCCAGACAGAAACTAAGACTCACTGCTTGTCTGCCTTTGTCTTTTAATCTGAGTCTCCAATAAAGCTGTTCTAAAGAGTTCCTGTGAGTCCTTTTATTAATTATTTTATGAACAATGCAAGAAGTCCAAAAAAGTAACCCCCAATTTTCATGGTAAGACTCTTGCCATCTGGGTACTGATGTATCAAACTCAGGTTGTTAGGGTAGGCATCAATTGCCTCTGTTCACTGAGTCATCTCATCAGCACAAAAGGCCATTCATTCTTTAGATACATGTGGAGTACCGAAGGAAATATTAGTGGTTTATCCAATTTTAAAAGAATAAAACAATCTACAAATCTCTCCAAATTGGTTAGTCATTGCCAGTGTGTTGTGTTGGTATATTCCTAGTGCCAGCCATAGCATGGCTAACATGTATGTCACTTCGTCATTTGCTGAAGCAGTTTCTGAAGCTAGCACTGATATGGTTGACTGGCAACCAATGAATGGAAAATGGTTCATGATTCTCAAGAGAAGGAACAATAATTTTCGTTTTTGTACTTCTGGAGGGAGGGGAGAACCACTCAGGCATCGTATAAGATAAGCATTTGAACACGTGGTTCCCAGTTGGTGGCGTTGTTGGAAGAAGAATGACACAATGGATGGGCTTTGAAAGTATAGATTCCCCCCCTACCCCGGCTAGGTCACTCACTCTGGATTGTGGGTGCAGTAAAAGACATGATCTCTCAACTTCCTGTTCATGCTGCCACGTCTGAGACTTACTACACTTACTGGCACTTACTCTTTAAACAGACTGCTAATCACTGATGTGAGAGGGAACTGTTTCATAGTTATAGATAAACAGGCTTGAGGAAAAAGGACCTGGACCCCATCCTCCTAATCAACATTCTGGAAGTGCAGAATGTCCTTTACTCAGGAATGAGGCTTGACTCTTGGGCAGAGACATAACATCCAGAACTTTCTGGAACATCATTATAGATAACTATTAAAGCCTGATTTCAGGACCCTAAACCTTATAAGATTCTTTTATAGCAAGTACATTGTGATGAAGAACAGATGCAGGTGTTACCTCTGTTGCAAAGAATGAAATCAAACCAGACTGTCAGCTGCTTGGGTAGCAGGGAGTCCCTCGGGGAAAGCTGTTTGTTCTAAAGACTTTAGATAATGTAACATTTGCTAAGAATATAGAATGTCAAAATGGTTCCATTGTCCTTTGTTCATTTCAGCCCAAGGTGTATGTACATTTTTACTCTGCAGTGGACTATCTGTCACATTCTTCTGTGTTCCTTGAGTTACCTTAGTGGAGAGAGTGAGATGGAGAACCCAGGGTAGGCCAGAGAAAGATCTCAGTGACACCTTTTTGTTCCTTCCTGGTTCCTGGTTTTCTTCATCTGTGGCAAAGCATAATCACCTTCTATTTTATGAGAAACACTTTTTTTTTTAATTATCTAAGGGATTTCATTGAACAAAGGCCTTTGTCGCATTAACTCTGACATGCTCCTTCTCACAGACTTGTCACATTATAAATTCATTCTCTCACCAATAGGAAGAGACACAGTCATCACTTGCAGTCATGATAAGAAACAGAGGCCATCTCACTTTTCTATTGGCATAGCAAAAACATGACTAAGACATTTACAGAGGAAAATGTTGCAAGGGGCTTGCGGTTTCAGAAGGTCCATGAGCACCATAGTTGGAGCATAGAAGAAGGCAGGTAGGCATGATGCTGGGGCAGCAGTAGGGATTCAGATTTTATTAGCTAGCAGATGGCAGAGGAAGAGAATGTCTCTGAATTGTATGTGCTTTTGAAACCTCATAGCCTACCACCAGTAATCCACCTCCTCCAACAATAACACACCACCTAACCCTTTCCAAAGTATTTGTTCATCTGAGATTCAAGTATCATAACACATGAGACTATGGGGGCCATCTTTATTCAAAGTACCTCAGAGTCCATCTTGGTCATGGATCCTTGCTGGCTAGGTTTGTGTTTGATCACACACAAGGAATTTGCTTTGCTGAGACACTTTCACATTATCAGTGCTCCTTTATGATACTACAAACGTAACCTTTTCCCAAACTTGAGTCGAGCCACACACCTTCCTGTTCCTTTAGAGTTACAAATTTGCTGAAGTGTATACTTCTCTATCATGTTGCACATTCTCCCAACCTTTTCTGCATTGGTAATTATGTGCCTCAGAGAATTTGCTATGGCTCCAATTGACTTTGCTCATGTGCTATATCTTTATAACCTAATTCTCATATCCATTTTCTTCCTTTCTGTGTTGGATTTCTGAGACAAGGATTCTCTGTGTAATCATGGTCATCCCAAATCTCTTTCTGTAGAATAAGCTGACCTTAAACTCATATAGGTCCACCTGCCTTGGCCTTCTGAGTGCTGGATTTGGTACCTTTTTCAAAAGGAAGGTGGATATACTCATGTTCTCTTTTGAGACACTATCATCAAGCAATAGATTTGGTGCAGTTTTTGTATTGAATGAAGGGTGTCTTAACCTTTTTGCTATTCCTATCATAGCATATACAGCAAAAACAACATAAAGAAATAAATGGTTTATTTTGTCTCATGGTTGTGGGGTTTAGTCTATATTGGTGGAGAAGTTCTGGATGTAGGGACTTGAGGCAGCTGGTCATACAGTATCAGCAGTCAGGCAGGAGAGAGCAATGGATGCTCCTGGACGGGTAGCTTTCTCCGTTTTATGTAGTTCAGGACCCAACCCTAGTCTATAGTATTCTTTTAGCGAGACTCTTCGCACACTGGGCATGGTGGCACATGCATTTAAGCTCAATACTTGGAAGGCAGAGAGAGGTGGATTAATATATGCTTGAGGCCACCTCATCTACATAGTCAGTTCAGTACCTCCATGACTACATCAAAAGACCCTGTCCAAAAAAGAAACAATAGTTTTCTTCCTTCAGGTAAACCAACCAATCAGAATTCAACCTTACAAACATGGCCAAGCTAAGTTTATGAGGAAAAGACCTACAGATATGCCTGAGGCTTGGGTCCTAGGCGATTCCACAGCCCATTAAGTTGACAATACTAATATCACAGAGAGGTAATACCAGATCTCACAAGGTCTGATGGTGTGCAAAGTACTAACTGGTTCCTCAAACACACACACACACACACACACACACACACACACACACACACACACACACACACACACCAACATATGAGGCAAAGTGAACTCTAGAATTGGGTAGGATAGATCAAATCTGATTCTCAGATTGGGTTTAAATTTGATTGCCACCAAGTGAAGTAACTGCAAAATTGGGAGGAAATACTATGTGTGATTGGCAGAAGTCACATGCTGTAAGAGAGAAAAGTCTATGAGCCTGGTGCTGTAGCTAGAGATGGAACATGTCATGAAGAAAATATGTTTCACATAGTTCTGACAACTAATTAGACCATCTCACAGTAGTCTTGAGCCAGGATAATGATGGGTCTGTGATGGGTTGGACCAGAAATAACACCTCTCATGGACCTTTGGGAAAATCGCTACAAATGTGACTTTAAATAAAAACTCAGATGAGCAAATAAATCTGTTGAAAACGTTGCCTTGCTGCCCATGTGTGGTTCTGACCAGCCTCTTCTCTTTTCTAGTCATAATGAAACCTTCAGGACAGCCCTTAAGAGCATAGAAAACAAATTTAAAAACATGAGTTTGAAAATGTATATTTTTTTCAACTATGCAAAAAATAAAAATGCAATATGAATTATGAGCGGCTTTAGGAATCTAAAGGAACAGTGGCAGCTACACTGTGAGTCAGCTCATCGGAAAGATACAAAGACAGGCAGATGCAAATGCAGGCAGATTCCTGAGTTCAAGGTCAGCCTGGGTCAGAGCAAGATTTGTCCCAGGTGTGGGAGAAATCATCATTTTGGGATGGGGTCTGACCCTGCTAGCTTTAGCATCTCTCTTTAACAGAGGAAGGCAGATCTTTGAATTCTTTTGCAATGTTAAAAGAAAATGTGTGTTTGCTGTCTCTTATGAAGTAAGGGGTTGGGGCAGGGGGAGTCATGGGGTCTTTTTTCATAGCATAATCAAAAGGAAACCTGAAGTAAATGACTGGATTGATACGTAAAATAAGAATGGGCTTATGATCTGCAGGAGATGAACTATCCAGAGAATTTTTTAGACTAGCAAGAAAGAACTGCTTGGAGAACTGTCTCAAGCAGAACATAGAGAGAGAAAACTGTCTAGAGATCCCCAGAGAGAGCAGATCAGAGAAAGAAAGAAAGCAGGACAGAGAGGAAGCAGGCTGGAACACTGTCTTGAGCAAAACATAGGCCTCCAGCTTGGAGCCAAGACTTGATTTCAAGTTGTTGGTTTTCGCTGCTTTCAGACATCCCTTCTCTCAGAACCCTCTCTAAGCTCAGGCTGGTCCTTGACATTCTATATTATAAATAACCTTTAAAAAAGAATGTGAGAAGGTATTGATATGGTCCTATAATTTCCTCAGGATTTGTATGTTGTCAGGGGGTTGACACAGGTGAGTCATTTCTTTAGTAGTATAACCACTGGCAAAGTACACAAACCCCTGTAAAGAAATTATCAGCCCTGCTTCTATATAAAGAACACTAATTAAACCCTGTCTCTGTCTTTGTCTCTCTCTGTCTCCCTCTTTTTCTCTCTGTCTCTCCCTCCCTCTCTCTCACATACACACAGGACATGAAAGCAGGGCACGGGTTAGTTGGGAGGAGGAAGGGATCAGTAGGAGTGTGAGGAACCGATAGTGTAACAGAGGTATAAATATTATAAACATTATGTACATATACACAACTATACAAATATTGAAAGCTACCATTATGTATAACTAATATATGCTAATAAGGTCATTTAAAAAATGACAGGGCTGGTGTCCTCTAGCCAAGATCAGAGCCCTAAAATCAAGGTATAAGACAAAAGTGACTGAAGAAACAAGATAGAAAGAACAAGCGATTTCCCTGCCCCTAGAGGCGTTGCAGGTGTGGCTGCTGTGTCACATGGGAGTCAGTAGGTGGCAGAGAGGAGAGAGGCTTTGTCTGTGCTAAGTGTTTTGACATCTGAACACCTGGATCATTAGTAGCCTAACACTCTCTGAAGAAAGGTAGCCTGAGATGACCACCAATCCAGTGCCTGTACCACCATGAACCTGGAAGTCCAAAGGTCAGCATGGGCTTCCATGTCCAGGAGTGAGCCAGAGAGGACAGGAACCCCAATCTGGGATCTGGGAGTTATCCTGAAACAGTTATCCTAAAACAACCTCTGCATGGTAGCATACCTAGTATCAGACCAAGGGCTCATTGCAGTGAGCACTTGCAAGCAAAGAAGAGTGGACAGAAGGGTGTCCTGTGGGACACACTGTGACACACTATAGCTTCCACAATGCTATGTTTTCTCTTTTGTGGATTGCAAGCACAGAGGGTGGGTAGAAGGGGAAGGGGAGATGAGTAGGATTGGGGTGCACGATGTGAAATTTACAAAGAACCAATGATATTTAAAAAATAAACAAGAAATTTTGCTGGTCAGGTAGCAGGCATCAGGTAATTCTCCACTAGGGCAGGTTTATAATTTCTTAAAATGGTGGATTCACCCTCATATGATCTTTTCATAGCTTATCTCCATATGTCTGTCTTTCTTGATTATCCTTCAAATCCTAAGAATGAGCAAGAGTGAAGAAGACCCTAAGTCCTCCCAAGGCAGAGCAAGACTAACATTAAGGAAGCATGAAGACAATGCTGTCACTCTTTCATCCAGTGTCATAGAGCTCTGTCCTCTGTGTATGACAGCTGACATCTTCATCAGAGCAGCTGTGATTCTTGTAAGAGACTCCTAAGATCAGAATTCTTGATGGTTGATGTTCCTTCATGGAAAGAAGGGGTGGGATCCTTACCTGAGATTTTGTCCATGCCTCCCACATCTCCTATAGGTGCATGTAATTCTGCCACAGGAGCAGGTGGCATTTGCTGCTTGGCAGTCTACTTTGAATTCAACAACTCCCTCTGGGAGGTCTTAATAAGCTCAGGAGATAAACAAGGTCACATGTCTGGGAAATGGAAACTTGGAAGATTCCGAGAGGCTCCTCGGTAGCTCTAGAGAAGGAGTAAATGGGTATTGTAGGAGGCTGACTGACCAGCCAGTCCACAGACAGGGAACATTCTCAGACTGGAGACATTTCTGCAAGCTGTGCAGAAGGCATCAAGGCTGCAGCTTTCTTGAGTTGTCACTCATGTTACAGTGAGATTTTGGTGGTGTGGCTCCTTTCAACTTTTCCCTGTTCACATATGTAACCCTTTATCTCCACTCCTCTTAGTAATCCTAATAAAAAATGCTTACTTGCCACGGCTACCTCAGCTTGCTTTCTTACACCACACAGGACCACACACCTAGGGATGGCACTGCCAATAGTTAGTGGAGATCTCCAACATCTATCTTTGATGAAGAATATTTCCAAAGAATTACCTATAGGCAATATGATGGAGGCATCATCTCAATTGAAGTTTCCTCTTCCCAGATGACTCCAGATTGTGTGAAACTTTCCAGAACTAGTAAACCCATTCACCAAAAGAAAAGAGCTCTCTTGTATAACAGTTTCCCTCACATTAAAACATTTCCTCCAGGATGAAAGATGAGATAAATCCTCCCATGATTTTAAAAGCAGAAAATAGAAGCTGAGAGTGGGAACTCTAAGCCCTGAGCTTCAAGGAGGACATTCTCGAGCCCATCAGCTGCCTTCAGTCTATGCAGCCAGCTCCAGAGTCACAGTCTTTGCCTGTTTTTGGGAGACTTTAACACAATGCACCTGCTTTGGAGTCTTTCCTGCTCTTTGTGTAACCCCTCAACTACTCTCCTGTTGGGAACCCCACCCAATAAAATCTCATTGGTTCATGAAGTGGGACTTGGTTGCAATTGTTAATTTGGTCTGGCAGCTCCCTGTCTATGGTGAATTGATTAATTTATTGCTTTACTGATTATGTAAAGAGGGAAAATAGGAACTCCAGATAAGAGTTGAAGACATGGCCATAGAGGAATGCTACTAATAAGCTTGTTTCTCTGGGCTGGAACAACTATTCTTACATGGCCCAGGCCCACCTTCTTAGAGATGAAACCATCTACAGTAGGTTGAGATCTCCCACGTTAGTCAGCCATTTAGAACTTTACCTCAGATATGCCCACAGGTCAATCCTTGAAGCAGCTCCCTCAGTTGAGGTTCCCTGTACTAAAGAATGTCTAAAGTTTGTATGAAGTTGATAAAACTTACTACAAGAAGCCTCCAAAACTAACAGATAATTTGGTTTAAGGAACAGGTGTGTTGTGCTGAGTTTGGGTTTTAAAGTTTGGTCTCAGTGCTAGAGACTGTCTCACCAGTTAAGATTACTTATTCCTGTAAAAGATCCAGTGCTTAGGTCCTAGCAACTACGTAGTAGCTTACAGCCATTTGTAACTCTGGTTATAGACTGAATGTCCTCTTATGTTCCTTTGCACATCATGCATATGTGTAGTTCACAGACATACATGTAAATAAAACACTCATTCTATAAAATGAATACAAATTTTTAAAACTACTTATAAAAAATAAATTTTGGACTTACAGCTGAGCAATTTTGTGAGGCTACACCCTCCCATGATGTCCTCACTTAATGTGCCCTCCATCAGTCTCCGTTTCTCATTCATATACCTGTGTTCTCCTACCCACCCTGATATGATCTTTTCATAGTTTATTTCCATGTGTCTGTCTCCTTGGTTATCCTTCAAATCCTAAGAATGAGCAAAAGTGAAGACCTTAGCTCCTTCCAAGGCTGTTGTTTGAATCATCCCTGCTCCTAGAAGTAACTGAACCCTCATGCCTGCTGTGGTTAGTAATCCCAATGAGACCTCATTACCTAGTTGGGCTTTGCTTCAATCATGACATCATTCTTAATCATTATGCGTTCCCTTTTTGGGGTGAAAGACACAAATGTTTCTTACAAAAAAAAAACCCACTCTTACACATCATGTGACTTTCTTCCTAAAACTCTTTAGGGCCTTCCCAGATAGTCACAGAGGGAAAGAACTGGGGCTAGAAACAAGGCTCAGTGATTAAGAACACTTAGTGTTCTATTTTCATTTTTTATTTATTCACTTTACTTCCCTATTTCTTTCCTCCCTCTGGTCCTCCATGTTCCATAGTTCCTCCCCTCTTTACTTCCCCTTCTCTACTGTAACCTCTGTGTTTTCCCTGGCTGTGGCACATCATATCTCTGCAGGGTTGGGCACTTCTTTTTCACAGTGAGGCCAGACAAAATAGGTGAGTTAAGGCAATGGATTCCATGGACAGGCATTAGGTATAGCCGCTACTCTAGTTGTTCACACCCACATGAAGATGGAGCAGCATATCTACTACATATGTGAGATGGGCCTATGCCCTGGCCAGCAGGGATTCAACGAGACCTTAGGGAAGGGGGCAAAAGAATGAAGGGACAAGAGACACAAGGAATGAGAGCAAGTCTGGGTTCTGATCAAGCTCTGAAACTTTAATTTTGGATGCAGGTTATAAAGACACAGCAAACCAGGAAGTTTGGGTGAGGGTCATTGCTTAGGGCTATCCCACTGTTGAATCTTTATTACCCTAGACCATCCCATTGTCGTAACCAGCTCCTAGGAAATGCCAGACGTTCTTTAAGTTCCTGGGGCCTGAGACCTGTGAATGTCCTTTCTTAACTTTGTACTGACTAGGCTTTCTAGAACAGCAGGTAACTTCCTAGGTTCTCTTAGGACAGCAGGTAGTTTCCTGGGTTCGGCTCCCAGCAGGCCTAGGTCCATCTCATGTATGCTCTGTGGTTGGTAGTTCAGTTTCTGAGAGCCCCAATGGTCTAGGTTAGTTGACTCTGTTGGTCTCCCTGAAGAGTTCCTATCCTCTTTGGAGTCCTCAATCTATCCCCTAGCTCTTTGATAAGAGTTACCAAGTTCCACCCAATGTTTTGCTGTGGGTCTCTGTATTTTGCTGAGTCAGTTTCTGGCTGGAGCCTTTCAAAAGACAGCCATGCCAGGCTCCTGTCTGCAAACATAGCAGATTACTATTAATAGTGTCAGGGATTGCTGCATGCCCAAGGGATGGGTTTCTAGTTGAGCTGGTTATTACTCGACCATTCCCTCAGTCTCTGTTTCATCTGCATTTTTTGTAAGAAGGATAAATTTTGATTTGAAAGTTTTCTGGGTGGGTTGATGTTCCTATGGATCCAGTGTAGTTCCTGCCTGGTTACAGGAGTTGGTTTCTTCAGGATTGAAATGATTCTCAGCTAAAGTCACCACTGTTGAGTCAGGGGAGCCTCCTCTAACCCAGGTCTCTGGCATGTTCTTGGAATGCAGATCCTACCCCTAGCTGTAGATTTCCATTCAATTTTGTGGGCATGTGCCATTTCCCCTGTCTCTGCCCATACCCGATCCTAAAGCCGTCATTTTCCTCTCTATCCCCTCTCCCACCCAGTTACATCCCTCCTTCTGCTTTCTACAAGCATTTTGTTTTCCTTTCTAAGTGAGAATCAAGCATCCTTGATTTGGTCTTCCATCTTGTTTACAACTTTGGATTTGTGGAATGTAGCACGGGTATCCTATATTTTATGGCTAATGTTCATTTATAAGTAAGAACATACCATGCATGTCCTTTTGGGTCTGGGTTACCTCTCTCAGGATAAAATTTCCAAATTTCATCCATTTGCATGCCAAATTCATTATGTCTTTGTTTTTAATGGCTTAATGTTCTATTGTGTAGATGTGCCACATTTCATTATCCATTCTTCAGTTGAGGGATGTCTAGGTTGTTTCTAGTTTCTGGCTATTATGAATAAAGCGGCTATGGACATAGTTGATCAATGTCCCTGTGGTATAATGGGGCATCTTTGGGTATATGCTCGGGTATGTTATACTTGGATCCTGAGGTAGAACTATTCCCGGTTTTCAGAGAAATCCCGAAATTGTTTTCTGCTGGGCTGTCCTTTAATGGTCCTACAGTTTTCCAAAGTGGTTGTACAAGTTTGCACTTCCACCAGTAATGAAAGTGTTTGCCTTGCTCCATATCCTCACCAGCATGTGCTATCACTTGAATTTTTGATATTA